GGAGAACGTCTCCCTTCAAGTCCATCATTGACGGTGGTATGTTGCACATACATATCCTATCTCAAGCTACGCAATGAGAACTCTGATCCATAAGACCCAACGGACCCATAAGCCTGAAGCGCCCGACGCCATGAACCGTAAGCACCCCAAGCTCTGAACCTGCGCCCTAAACCACCCTAAACCCCCCAACTCTACTTGTGAGACATGAGGAAGGTCTATGTTGGTGACATTTTTATATTGGGTGTGTCCAGTTGGTTATGCTAGCAATATTGCCCATACTTCTTATGAGAAGAAGGCGCCGCCGCCGGTGCGGTTGTTGCCCGCCCTCGCGGACCTCAACGACCCGGACCCTACGCTGTTCTGGCAAGCAGCTCTTAAGCTTTTATGTTCAGGTTGATTCATTAGGGCCCTGAGCAGTAAACCCCAAGCCCCAAGCCCTAAGCCCTAAACCCTAGCCCTAAACCCTAAGACTTAAACCCCGTAAACCCTAACCCTAAACCCTAAACTATTCAACCCTGCAGAGGAACGGTTGGAGAGGCTCCAGTACTGGGGCTCGGTGAACCTGATCCTGGTCAGAGATTAGGGGTCATAAGGGTTATAAGCGTTATAAGGGTTAGCAAGGTGTTAAGGGTTTCAAGGGTTTCAAGGGTCTTGAGGGTTTTAAGGGTTTCAAGGGTTTTAAGGGTTTTAAGGGTTTTAAGGGTTGCCAGGGTTGAGGGTTCAGGGTCGAGGGTTATCAGGGTTGTAAGGGTTGAGGGGGGGTTTAGTGTATTTGGCTATAAGGATTGAGGGTTTAGGGTTGAGGTTCTCCGGGTTGAAGTTTGGAGGATGGCAGTATCGGCATGGGTTATAATTAGAGTTTAGGTTCTAGAGTGAAACCCTAAACCCTAAATTCTAAACCCCGAACCCTAAACCCTTAACCCTAACTTTCTCTTCCTGCAAGAGTCGAGGCTCTCACCTCTGTTGATGGCGGTGATGTGCGAGACTCTGCGTCTCAGCTTCCGATTCGCCAAGCTCCACATCTTCTCCAGCTTCAAGCCGATCCCGCAAGAGGATGCAGGGCTGCTGTCAAGGAACTTTCTTGGTTTAGGGTTTATGGTTTATACGGGTTTTGGGTTTAGGGCTCAGTGTTTGGGGTTTAGGGGCAAGTCTACCATAACAAGGATGCTGGGTTGCTGTTAAGGAACTTTCTATCTCTTGTACCGTAACAGGGAGACCACATCTATAAATATTTCCGGACTCGGATAGCCCATTTTTTTGGTCTAACAGCAACCCAGGATATGGAGTTAAGGGCCCTTTCTGTAGCGCCGGGTGGCGAACTGGAGCCCTACATGCCGGGCAAAGGCTGCTTTTTCGGGGCGGTGGCTCTGTACCACTTCTTCTGTGCAGGACTGGTAGTCCTGGCTGTGCTAAACTCATGGATTTCCGAACATGGTGGTGGGTCGGTGTCTTGGGAGCTGTGGGCACTGTGGCAGCAGCTTTGCCTGTGGACACTCTTCGTCCAGAACTTGCTGCGTTGCTGCATGGAGGATGCGGAAGCCTTGCGGGCGTCCACCATGAAAGTCGTGCTGCTGTACACAGTTCCGTGCATCAGCGACCTTTTCGACACCATGAAGGACTGGATCATTACAGGCATTTGCTTTTTGGAGCCTCGAAATTCATGGGGCTGGGCCCTTGGAGTATTGCTGGTGACTCTTGAGGTGGCCTGCCTCTGGGCAGGCCGCCTACCCCAGTGTATCCAGCTGCATAGCGAGATGTCTGTGAGCCTTCCCCTGGTGCTGCTGCAAGTGCTCTATGCCCTCATGACGCTTGTGCTGGCAGTGGGGCCTGGCTTTGTGTGGCTGGTGGTCACCGTCTACGCGAACGTGCGTTTTGCGCTGTATTCCTTCGTGGTGCTCCCGTTTACCATCTTGCTCTTTGCCTTGCATAGCGTGGTCGCCTTGGCTTTGCTCCTGCTGCAATGGCTTGCTTGCTTGGTCGGCTTTTGTGGAATGGCGCTAGTTGACATTCCCATCGCCGTGGCGTCCTTGTTCGACTCGGGACTCATCTGGTCCTGCCTAAGATGGGAGCGCGAACGTCTTCAGACATATTGCAGCATAAGCTGGTACCAACCCAATGTGTGGTTCAACCAGACAAACATCACTGTGCACTCGAAGTCTTTGACAAAGACGGATGTCGACAGTATGTTGCACGAGCAAGATCTGCACGAGGCGGAATGGACCCACGCGGCGTACCTGTTTTTGGCGGACGGCGGGCTTCTGTGTGTCTAGATAGCTGATTGGGTTAGGAGGATCAGCATAAGCAATACTTTTCCAAAGTTATTAAGAACCCTAAGCCATAAACCCCTAAAGTCCTTCACCCCTGAAGCTCTAAAGCCCTGAACCCCAAATCCTTCCGTGGTAGTGTCAACCTAGGTGTGATGTCCCTGTACGTGGTCATCTATTCCTGCGCGCAGGCGCGAGTTGACCTTTCGATCTCAGTGGGTAGGTGTAGGGTTTAGGGTTTAGGGTTTGGGGTTTAGGGTTTAGGGTTTGGGGCTTAGGGTTTGGGGCTTAGGGTTTAGGATGATTAAGACGGTCCTCACATCATACTGGGGCATCCACTTCAGAATGTTGTCAAGGAAGTCTTTTTTTGAGTAAACCCTGGACTAAACCCTAAACCCTAAGCCCTACGCTCTAAGCCCTTATAAGCCCTAAGCCCAAAACCCTAAACCCTCAACCCTAAACCCCAAACCCTTGAGCTCAACCCAGGTCTTTACACACGAGGAGTGCCTCCGGGACTTTCGGAAGAGCTATTGGGCGATCTGGGAGCTGCCGAAGCCGACCAGGCCGGTTTAGGGTTTAGGGTTTAGGGTTTGGGGTTTAGGGTTTAGGGTTTGGGGTTTCGGGTTTAGGATTTAGGGTGTTCTTGGAGATCTCTCCCCCTTCATTGGTACCCTTTGGAACTTTTTTGGGGGCGCCAGGTTCCTTCATAAAAGTTATTAACCACCACCAAAAGGGTACTCTAACTATACTAAGGTTGCTGGGCTGCCAAGAGTGTGACAATAGTGATCATGATGGTAAACGTGAAGCATGTAGTTCATCGCAGCGATGGTACGAGCTGTATGAAGGATCCCAAGCTGTCTATATATATATATATGTAAGCCCTAAACCCCGATCTGTAGGGTCATTAGGGTTTAGGGTGTCGGGTTGAGGGCTTAGGGTATGCCGCTATGCCAACCTGCCGAGGCCTTTTGCCGAGAGCTGCACGGAGTGGACCACCCGGACTGCCGGGAATTTGGCAGTCGACTTCCTGAGCAGCTCGCGGTTGCTCCTTGCTTGGCTTCGAGATTGGCCCCAGGCGCCTAGGAGCGGTTCTTCTGCTGTTTATGACTTTTTCGCTGGGATCTGTGATGGGTTTTTTGTTTGTTACTTTTGTGATTCTTGTTGCTCAAGGCTTCTCGTCCTGTAGGCCACTCAAACTCCCCTCCCTACACCTCCAGCTTGAACTAAACTTGTCTAGGAACACTGCACCCCACAGCCCCACGCCCCAAAACCCCTGAAACATTCACAGGCCCTAGGCGCGCACACAACAGAAGAACCCTAACACCAAACCTTAAACCTTGGGATTATATATATATATATATATATAGAACCCCAAGCCCTAGAACCTAAACCCTAAACCCTAAGCCCTAAACCCCAAACCCCAAACCCTAAACCCTAAACCCTAAACCCTAAACCTCAAACCCCAATGTAGATATCTACCCGGCTGCAGGTCGTGATCGGCCTGGTCTTGGTGCGTCGCTGCAACCTCGCCCACAATGGTGCAGGCTTCGGCCTGGCAGGCGCCTGGCTTAGGGTTTAGGGTTTAGGGTTTAGGGTTCTAGGGTTTAGGGTTTAGGGTTCAGGGTTCAGGGTTTAGGGTTAGCGTTTAGGGTTTAGGGTTTAGGGTTTCGGAGTTTTCTAGATTCAGGGGTTTCGTTAGGGTTTATAAGGTTCAGTGGGTTTAGGATGTAGGGGTTCGGCGGGTGTAGGGCTCAGGACACGCGAGTTCCCGGCTTCGTTTCTAGGCCTTCCTGCCTCCCACCCCGCCGTCCCTTCTCGCAGGTCAACCAACGGGGTGGTCGGAAGTCGCAAGGGGTCTGACAGGGATTTTCGCAGAGGGGTGTAGGGAAACCCTAAACCCTAAACCCTAAATCCTAAACCCTAAACCCTAAACCCTAAACCCTAAACCCCAAACCCTACACCGTGCAAGGGGCTTGGGGGTGGATCGGGAGGCGAGGCCCGCCACACTCTGTTGGCATGTCGAGTCTTGTGACAGTTGCATGATCTAAACCGTAAACCCTAAACCCTAAACCCTAAACCCTATATCCCCCTTTGGAATTGTTTTGTGTTTTTGTCCATATAAAGCCCAAGAGGATATTAAATTGTTGTTAAGGTTCTAAGGGGAGTATAGTACCCACACAACGATCTTCTGCTGGGTTTTTATCCAAAACCGCCAGACTCTAGCTAGACTCCTTTTAGGGTGTAAACCCTAAACCCTGAACCTTAAGCCCCAAAAGGTAGGCCCTTGGGATATCAGATATGTTTCCTTTTCGGGTTGAGGAGGATGGTGTTGAGGAATATTTTATCAGAGGGTCTTATTAGGGTCCATCCTAGAACTTTAAGCCCTAACCCCTAAACCCTAAATCCAAGGCATCTCTATTGTCATCAGCCTCTTCAAGGGCCTTGTGATCCCCGTCTTCCAGGCCTCGTGGGGTCTGGGAGGCCGCTCTTAGAGGAAAGAAGGCCGTAGCCCAAAACCCCGAGCCACATCCCTAAACCCCAAACCCTGAACCCTGAAAGGCTTCAACTCAGACTGGGGGGGGTGGGGAGGGGGGATTGGGGGATTCAAAAGGGGTTGCTGTTATGACTGAGGGTTGGGAGTTCAGGGTCTAGGGGTTGCAGAGCAAAAGGGGAGCAAAACAGGACTCCACGACCAGGCGCTGGGTGTAGGTCTTCGGGCAGATCCCTCCCCAAACTTCGGACTCCTCTGGAAGAGCGATGGTGGTGAGGGTTTAAGGTTTAGGGTTTTAGGGTTGAGGGTTTAAGGTTTGCAGTAGGGTCTGGAGGTTTCCCGAGTCCGAGTGATCCATGATTTAGGGTTTAGGCCGAATTGGGGCACCTTCTGGGGGTGTCCTTATACAGGGGAACAGTATCCTACATGTGGGACCTTTTGGGCGGACCCCCCCCCCCCCCCCCCAAACCCTAAACCCTCACCTCAACCCTCAGCCCTCAACCCTCAACCTCAACCCTCAACCCTCAACCCTCACCCTCAACCCTCAACCCTCAACCCTAACCCCCCCCCCCCCCCCCAATGTTTGGGGGGTCCTTGTATCAGTAGAATTCATGAACATCAGTATGGCTGAGTTTATTGATAACCATGGATGACAATAACAAGCAAGCTAGTAGCAAACATCAATTCATGCATAGCAAGTAGCAAATAGTGCAAATGGTAACATGCAAGCAAAACCCTACAAACCCCAAACCCTAAAACCACAAACCCCTGGCCCTTAACCCTAAGACACTAAATCCTAAGCCCTAAACCTTGAAGCCCAGAGCCCTAAACCCTACACCCTAGACCCCCAACGCTGCCTTTCTTCCTCACAGGGCTGCTTACTCCACTGGCAGCAGCGCCGGGTGCTTTGGGATTTGGATGACGCTGGGTGTCCTTACAAATCAGGGCTCACAGGGTTTAGGGTTTAGAGTTTAGGGTTTAGGGTTTAGGGTTTAGGGATAGAAGCCCGACGCCTCTGCACTTTGTAGTGGCACTCCGTCTGTTTGATTTGGAATAGAACTTTAATAAAGTTCGATGGGCCCAATCCTATAACCCGACCAAACGCCCAGAAATGTTGATTTCGATAGGGTCCCCCCAAACCCTAACCCTAAACCCGAAACCCCAAACCCTAAACCCTGATCCCTAAACCCTAAACCGCAGACACTAAATCCGAGGACATGATCACCAAGAAGGGTCTGCGGCAGCTGGCGCGGACGCTGGATCAGACGAGCTCGTCCAGGAGCAGGGTTTAGGGTTTAGGGTTTAAAGGTTTAAAGGTTTAGGGTTTAGGGTTTAGGGTTTAGGGTTTAGGGTTTAGGGTTTAGGGTTTAGTGCTCCAGCGTGACAGTTAGGGATTTGGGTATTTCGGGTTGGTGGGTTTGGGGTTTGGGACGGGGTGCTTTCGGAAACCCCTAAACCCTAAACCCTAAACCCTAAACCCTAAACCCTAAACCCTAAACCCTAAACCCTAAACCCTAAACCCTAAACCCTAAACCCTAAACCCTAAACCCTAAACCCTAAACCTAACCCTAAACCCTAAACCCTAAACCCTAAACCCTAAACCCTAAACCCTAAACCCTAAACCCTAAACCCTAAACCCTAAACCCTAAACCCTAAACCCTAAACCCTAAACCCTAAACCCTAAACCCTAAACCCTAAACCCTAACCCTGAACCCTGAACCCTGAACCCTGAACCCTGAACCCTGAACCCTGAACCCTGAACCCTGAACCCTAAACCCTAAACCCGAAACCCGAAAGCCTAAACCCTAAACCGACCGGGAGGATCCAGCGCCGGGATCTCGAGCAGATGTTGCAGTCCCTGGCGGAGAAGCTGTCCAAGGAGGTTCTGCAGAGGTTCAAGGCCACGGCAGCCGGACCGCCTTGGAGAGTTTAGGGTATAGGGTTTGGGGTTTGGGGGTTTGGGGTTTAGGGTTTGGGGTTTGGGGTTTGAGGTTTAGGGCTTAGGGCTTAGGGTTTAGGGTTTAGCGTTTGGGGTTTTAGGGTTTAGGGTTTGGGGTTTAGGATTTAGGGCTTAGGGTTTAGGGTTTAGGGTTTAGGTTACGGGAAGGCAGAGCCCCGCAAGAATGTGATTCTTGGTAACCATCAAACCAGCAAGCCCAAAGCGGAAGCCCCCTAACCCTCATGTCGCTGTCGGGGCTAGCAGTAGGGTAGCTGTAGTTTCAAGTGGCCATAGCGTTCTAACAACTATGACTACCCTTGGCCCTGAACCTCCAGATAAGCCCTAAACCCTCAACCCCTAAAACCCCAAACCCCTAAACCTAAACCCAAACCCCAAACCCTCAACCCCTTGACCCCTAAACCTCTAGATCCCTAAACCCCAAACCCCTACACCTTGAACCCAAACCCCTGAACCCTAAGCTGCCCCAGGATCGGGACCTATTCCGCCCGGTTGCCTCCACTGTCGAGGAGTGGATGAGCGACTGCCTTCCGCTGGAGCGGGACCAGGTTTTAGAGGCTCGTAGCATAGCGTTTAGGGTTTGGGGTTTGGGGTTTGGGGTTTGGGGTTTGGGGTTTGGGGTTAAATTAGTGTTTAGGGTTTGGGGTTTAGGGCTGGGGTTTGAAGGGTTTACTAGGGCTTAGGGTTTGCGGAGTAGGGTGCCTTGCTGGGGATACTGGCTAGGTCGCCGTGAACCTGGCAGTGATCTACGTGAAGAGAGGTGCCACGGTGGATGAGATGCTACTGTG